TTTATTATTTTACTTACAGAATATGGGTAGGATAGATAAAAGATATTATTATGGTATCTGTTTGGTCAGGAAAAAATAAATGACTAATAAAAATATTAACAGGGTGTCAAAACATTAGTTTTTTTTTTTTTTATGCTAGCCAAGGCAGGTATTTGACCGCAATCGCACCTGGTGTTAAGTGAGATGCAGTCTATGCTATTGTGTTTCTACCAACATAAAATATACTCTTCCTTACTAATAAAAGTTGAATAGCGTCTGTCGTCATGTTTTTCCGAAAGTTGAAACTGACGACTGAATGAAAGAAATTGGTGCGTAACTATTCATCTGATATTAAACGTTTAGTAATAAAGGGGTAGGTCAGGTAAATGGCAAATCCACCAGCGGTCGCTCGATGACACTTAGACAAATAGTTTTATAAAACGTCAACTAAGTTGGTTAGGTATTTGTATTGTAGATACTTATACAAATGAACGTATAAAATGAGTTTATTTTTAAAAGTATAGGTACAGGGTGGAAACGATAAGTGATTTCACTTGATTTTTAATTATACAAGATATCGAGAAACTGTTTACTGTTCCTGTAAGTGCTTCATGAGCTCTTTAAAACAGTTAACAAAAAAGTTTCAGTCTTTAAATCAGTCAGTTATACAAACATAATAAAATATAGCATCGTAGGTGAACATTATTAGTTTCGGTTAAGATCATTACTTGCAAATCAAATTAGTTAAAAAAAGGAAAGACTAGGCCAGTCTAAACGCAACGTTAACCTATTAAATAATAAAAAACTTACTTTTGTCTAAGAAAATAGGCTTTCAAGAATATTAAAGCTTCAAAATCGAAACTCGAGAATTCTCGAGCTCCGGTAATTTTTTTCTCGTCTCGAATGAAGCCAAATTTCTCGAGTTTTCTCGAGTTCGAGAAAGCTCGAGCAGAAACTCTAGTCTCGCCCGTCTCGCGCTCCACCACGGCGATGCAGCGGCGCGCGGCCGGCAGCGCGTACCGCGGGGACTCCACCGCGCGCGACACCAGGTGCCCCCGGCGGCCTAGTGTGCCTCGCTGTCACAGCACAGTGTGCCTCGCTGTCACAGCACAGTACCTATGTCTCAGCATATCCCGCTCACCTTGTCGCGGTCGTGGTACCACTGCTGGCACGTGTTGAGCAGCGACTCGAGGAAGGTCTCGCCCGTCTCGCGCTCCACCACGGCGATGCAGCGGCGCGCGGCCGGCAGCGCGTACCGCGGGGACTCCACCGCGCGCGACACCAGGTGCCCAACGGCGTCCATTAGTGTGCGCGCCATTACTGCGTTCGGATCTAGGATGGGGAGAAATAGTTTTAGTATTAATGATTAGGTTAGGTTAAAAGAGAACAAGAAAACAAAGTAGATTAGCCTATCTACACTCGGCATCAAATAAATCGCACCTCCCGCGACAAGTACTTATCAAACGTATGCATCCCCACTTCCCACCAACATTGGTACCATTTGAAAGCCTTGTTCTAAACTTCATTTCATTAAAGGAAAGGGTTTTACCCCAAAAATGTGTCTTTACAAGGATCCAGAGTCACTTCTTCAAAAAATATGCAACGTTTACCACTGTGCGGTGGGACTATGGTTACAATAAATTAGGGTAATTGCGCCGGTTTTCCGTCCAGCTCCTGTTTTCGTCCATTTGACCGACTTGCCACAAACAAATACGGAAAATTAGAATACAAACCTAACTTTCCGTGCAAGTTTGGACTTGTTACAATCTATAATATCTAAGTAACAGTTCTGCCTGCATGAAAATGTAATTTGATAAGTAATAACTCCAAAAAAATCTACGGAAGTTGCTGCTGCACACAGGTGAATGGAAAACGTCGTCAAGTTAGAAAAAAAAACGCGTTGGTAGGGAACTTTCACGGTATGTTCAATTACTGTTTTAGCTACTTTATGTAAATGTTTTTGGCACGTATGTCTAACTAGCTTTCCGCCCGCGGCTTCGCCCGCGTGGAATTTTGTCTGTCACAGAAAAACTTTATCGCGCGCGTCCCTGTTTCAAAAACCGGGATAAAAACTATCCTATGTTCTTTCTCGGGACTCAAACTATCTCTATGCCAAATTTCATCAAATCGGTTGCGAGGTTTAAGCGGGAAAGCGTAACAGACAGACAGACAGACAGACAGAGTTACTTTCGCATTTATAATATTAGTTGGGATTATTAGCATAATAAACACTATTTTAAGGGTTTATTAAAGCTTTTGTATAGAAATCTTAGATAATTAAGTGGACTAATACTAGCATAACAATTTTGCAAGATTTTGGTTTTCGTCCACGTGGACGGAAACCCTGACACCTAGTTAATATTTTTAATAATCATTTTACTTCAATGGACCTACAAAATACAATGTTTTTTCTTCCAATATGATCTTTATTGCTATTACAACAAACATTTTAGTTTACGTCCACTTTTTAACAGTGATAAACCCATAAAAACCGTAAAAAGATGTGGACGAAAACAAAAAACAGCTTTAAACGTTGTTGTGTTTTCGTCCATGACGTCATGAGCAAGCACTGGGGTGGACGAAAACCAAAATAAGCTATTCCTGTAGATTAGTTTTCGTCCATTTCTCCTTCGACCTATTGAAATATTTTCCTGAATTTAGGTAAGAAACTTATTTAAATCTTTTTGATATCATTTGAAAGCTAACAAAATTACCTTTCAAATGATATACCAGAATCCATAGTTACTGTATTGTAGAGTTGGTTTTAAGTTAATAATTCAACTGCACCCTTTTTTCTACACAGCGGTCGAAAACTAGCGTACATTAGGACGAAAACTGTTTTTTTTGGACGAAAACTAGTGAAATCGCCTCTTTTGCATAAAATATTTATTGTAAAAAAACCCGTGGTATTTACTTATTGTCATATAATATTAACGTAAAGTAGACTATGTAATGACTAAAACGACATTATGATACATATGAGTAAGGGTATTTTAAAATATTTATTTCGCATCACAAAGTTGGCAACTCCGATAATTGGACGAAAACTAACGCACTTACCCTACCCGTAGACCCACTGGCAAAAACTGTTCAGAACGGTGGGACAACGGGTAAAAAAAATTACCCGTGGAACCACCAGGGGGACATGTTGGGGGGTCCACGGGTAAACGCCGCATTTTTTATGACTATAAAACTGTTAAGTTGAGATTAATCGCTATCCATCTATTAAAGAGGACACGTGAGATCTTTATTTGGTTTTATAACCATTAAAATTGATCTAATTGATCCCAGAGGTGAGCCCAAAGTGAGGTCTATTTTCAAGTTACATTTATGGTACCTATATGTTAATCATTTATTTAGAAATGAATTGTATTTTTCTTGAAGGATATTTATTGGGCTTTCAAATAACACCAATATTGTTGGGATACCATGATTGTGTCAGAAGAAAATCTTTAAAGTTCGCGTCGCGGAAGGTGCGGTTTATTTGATGTTGAGTGTATTTACACACGTGCACCTAACGTCGAATCCTGTCGTGCAAGCCAGCGCATCGGTCTAAATGCAGGGGCTTGGATTGTTTGACCATAAACTATTCCTATTACTCCTGTATCCCTGGCGGGAAGGCGCTGAGATCGTTAGCTGCCATTCCAATCCCAGTGCCTGGCCAGCGTATCAACTGAAATCAGCGACTTGGATCGCTTGACCATAAACTGCCCCAATCTCTTACCATAAAGTGCACACCTTTGTCGGCCGTTTGGTGTATTGGTTCAGAACGGACTACTATGCCGAGAGGTCCCGGGTTCGACTCCCGGCCGGGCAGAAATTGAAATGATGAATTTTAATTTCTGTGACGAGTCTGGGTGTTACTATGTATAATATGTATGTATTTACAAAAAAAAATATTTAAGTATGTTTATATCCGTTGTCTAGTACCCATAGTACAAGCTTTGCTTAGTTTGGGACTAGAGGCGTAGTGTAAAATGTCCAAGGATATTTATTTATTTACCTTCAAGAGCCTTATCGATGCACTCCTGTATTTCTGGCGGGAAAGTGCCAAGATCCCCTGCGTCGGCCGCCAGTCCCAGCGCTGCCATTCCGCTGGCCAGCGCGTCAGCTGACGTCAGCGACTTGGAAACTTGACCAAACCTGACAATTTATAAACCACTCACCTTCAAGAGCCTTATCGATGCACTCCTGTATCTCTGGCGGGAAGGTGCCGAGATCCCCTGCATCGGCCGCCAGTCCCAGCGCTGAAATACCACTGGCCAGCGCGTCAGCTGACGTCAGCAACTTGGACCATTTGCCCATAACCTGACAATTCACAAAGCTCACCTTCAAGAGCCTTATCGATGCACTCCTGTATCTCTGGCGGGAAAGTGCCAAGATCCCCTGCGTCGGCCGCCAGTCCCAGCGCTGCCATGCCACTGGCCAGCGCGTCAGCTGACGTCAGCGACTTGGACCGCTTCAGACCGGGAGTGAAGGACTGAGGCCTGACGCTTTTCCCGTTGCCGTTGGTCAGGGAAGACGGCGGGGATTTCTTCTTCTCCGCGACGACGCCTTGCTGTGGCTGGAGTTTGAAGTGCACGCGAGGGCCAACCTGGAATATGATATGCAGGCATTAGTTTTGAGGTAAATTCATAAAGGATCTAATTCATGGACATAAATCCTTGTTTTGCGACCTTCTAAAGGTAGGACTAAAGTGACCATTTGTTGTTTGGAGACAAGACAGAAACAAAATAAGATCGTTCAGAGACAGCTCGAAGAAAAGATATTGCTTGAGTAAGGAACCTACACACTAAAGAACAGTAGGGACTGGTGGGACATTTATAGAGGTATAAGAGGAGAAATCATAATTTATCTAAAAAGCCAAAAAGCAAAATTTTACAAACATTTTTAGAGCCCACTCAATCGCAGGGTCTTGGGTATATGCCCAAGAGCCCAGTGGGAAAGAGGGACCTGACTGTAACCCGCTGGTCTGTGGCTACTGCTCAACTGCCGCGAGTGCTGCAGGCCCACGCTCGCGTGCCCGAGGCCCTTACTGCACAGGTGCAGCAGTGGTGGGAATATTCCCGTTTAACCCTAGCCTCGCGCGCTCACCTGCGCGTGCGCCCCGTTCCCGTCGCTGTTGAGCACGTGCGGCGGCATGACGGGCCGGTAGTGCGGCGCCGACCGCGAGGCCCACGGTCGCGTGCCCGAGGCCCATAGCTACAGGTGTTGGAGTAGAGGGAATAGTCCCGTTTAGACCTAGCCCTGAGAGACAGGGGCGCCTGCTCATACGAATCTAAAGGGAAAGGAAATTGGTGGGAACGAGAGGTGGGAATAGTCCCGTTTAGGCTCACCTGCGCGTGCGCCCCGTTGCCGTCGCTGTTGAGCACGTGCGGCGGCATGACTGACCGGTAGTGCGGCGCCAACCGCGAGTGCTGCAGGCCCACGGTCGCGTACCCTAAGCCCTTGCCATACAGGAGTTGGAGTGAAGGGAACGAGAGGTGGGAATAGTCCCGTTTAGCCCTAGCCTCGCGTGCCAACCTGCGACCGCGAATGCAGCAGGCCCACGCTCGCGTGCCCGCGGCCCATTGCTACAGGAGTTGGAGTAGAGGGAATAGTCCCGTTTAGCCCTAGCCTCGCGTGCTGACCTGCGCGTGCGCCCCGTTCCCGTCGCTGTTGAGCACGTGCGGCGGCATGACGGGCCGGTAGTGCGGCGGCGACCGCGAGTGCTGCAGGCCCATGCTTGCGTACCCTGGGCCCTTTGCTACAGGAGGCGGAGTGGAGCGAATAGTCCCGTTTAGAACTAGCCCTGAGGGACAGGGGCGCGTGCTCACCTGCGCGTGCGTCCCGTTGCTGTCGCTGTTGAGCAAACTCGCGTGCCCGAGGCCCCTTGCTATACAGGAGTAGCAGTGGTGGTAACGAGAGGTGGGAATAGTCCCGTTTAGCCCTAGCCTCGCGCGCTCACCTGCGCGTGCGCCCCGTTGCCGTCGCTGTTGAGCCCGTGCGGCGGCATCACGGGCCGGTAGTGCGGGTGCAGCAGGCATACACTCGCGTTCTGAGGCCCATTGCTACAGGAGTTAGAGTATAGGGAATATTCCCGTTTAGACCTAGCCCTGAGGGACAGGGGCGCCTGCTCATACGAATCTAAAGGGAAAGGAAATTGGTGGGAACGAGAGGTGGGAATAATCCCGCTTCGCCCTAGCCTCGCGTGCTCACCTGCGCGTGCGCCCCGTTGCCGTCGCTGTTGAGCACGTGCGGCGGCATGACGGGCCGGTAGTGCGGTGGCACCTGCGCGTGCAGCACCGCCGACCGCGAGTGCTGCAGGCCCACGCTCGCGTACCCTAGGCCCATTGCCGACCTGGAAGGGTTAACAAATAGATTTATTACTTAACGGTATATAAATCAAATATGAGCAGAGATCAGGGAAATACCGCCCGGCTGTGCCACGTATTTATTTAGGCTAAGGTGTAAACGAACTAAAATGGCTGACAGAGCCCGACGGATTAGCAAGCTGAAGTGGCAGTGGGCAGGGCTCATAGTACGCAGAACTGACGGCCGATGGGGCAGCAAGGTTCTGGAATGGAGGCCGCGTACCGGAAAACGCAGCGTTGGACGTCCACCTACAAGGTGGACCGACGACCTGATAAAGGTAGCAGGAAGGCGCTGGATGCAGGCCGCTACCAACCGTGCGATGTGGAAGTCATTGGGGTGGCCTATGTTCAGCAGTGGACGTCCGATGGCTGAAATGATGATGATGATGAAGCTGTAAAAAGTAATTTGTTTAGTTAGGATTTGTAGAGTTAGGGCGTGGTGGAGCTAGAAGCTTAGCTCTACATGAGATCTAAACATTTTCATAATGGAACTGTTATGGTCTCGTCTTGGCAACATTGTACATGAAAATGTTTTTGATGGGCTGCAAATTACAAGGTTGAAAGTATCATTGCCATGTAGTATGTGCGACATTTACAAACCTCAACTGTTTGTTAGAGTTCGCTCCAATTAGAATTTGGTAATGTTGCAAATCAAACATATTCTTTATTTTTAGGTAAAAGAAATAAATCTTTTAGTTCTTTCATAAGTAGAGAGCTCACTGATAAGTATTATGATATTTCAAGATAGAGCTCCTACGTGGTCGCTATTAGTATTACATTTAAATGATTAATATTATAGGCATGGAAAGGCATGGCTAATACGAATCTAAAGGGAAAGGAAATTCGTAATTTCACTAATTAGCGAGCTTTCCTATCTAGAATAATGGTTACGTATTTATAAGTCGGAGGCAGTTTCTAATAATTTCTTAATCGAGCCCTAGATGCTATAATTATGAAGCAAGAAACGACAGTCACAGGTACATAAATAAAGAAGGTTCCTTATTCATTAATATTATCTTGCCTGGGTCGGCTGGTAAGAAACCGGTGCGTACCTACATATATGTACAGTGTGAGTCACGTTAAAGTGTACATATGAAAATAGATGAAACTAGACTTGTTTTTATCGACAAAAAAGAGGTCAAAAAATTTGAGATTTTTTTTAAATTTTTTATAGAATTTTTTTTCTTCCAATTACTTATTGTAAAGAAAACGTAATAACTTTTAAACTAAGCGGTATATCCTGATAAAATAAAAACAGAAATAATTCCAAATAACAGGCAATACTAAAAAAGTACATCAAATACACAAAAAAGACCAATAAATAATAAAAAATGATAATTTTTGAAAAAAATCTGCTTAAAAATTCGTGTTTTTTTGGTTATTTTATAAATTTCTCCAAAAAATGCGCCTATAACCGGTGGTTTTTATTACTTTGTATTATTTTCTATCGTATTATTTTTGTAAAACCAAAAATCGCATGTCTCTATCCCTATCACAACATTTGCTATGATCGTTTGAAGAAAGGCCTGCCACAACATTATTCTCCGCTACAGGTAGAGACAATTTTAATTTTAACTAAAATGCTTATTTTACTTCGAAATTTTTTGTTTTTATTTGAAATCTAACTTGTCTTTATCAAAATTACAAATCTAGAGCCATTTTCAGTTTTGTTATTAACGAAGCGTTGAATGGCGCGCCCGGAGAGGCTTAGTTCAAACGATCATTGCAAACGTTGTGATAGGGATAGAGACATGCGAGTTTTGGTTTTACGAAGGTAATACGATAGAGAATAATACACAGTAATAAAAACCACCGGTTATTGGGGCATTTTTTGGAGAAATTTATCAAATAACAAAAAAAACACGAATTTTTAAGCAGATTTTTTTCAAAAAGTATCATTTTTTATTATTTGTTGGCCTTTTTTGTGTATTTTATGTATTTTTTTACTATTGCCTGTTATTTAGAATTATTACTGTTTTTATTTTATCAGGATATATCGCTTAGTTTAAAAGTTATTACGTTTTCTTTACAATAAGTAATTGGAAGAAAAAAAGTTAAATAACAAAAAAAAATCTAAAAAAAATTTTGACCTCTTTTTTGTCGATAAAAATAGGTCTAGTTTCATCTATTTTCATATGTACACTTTAACGTGACTCACACTGTATATCATTACACAAGGATAAAAAAGTAATATCACACATTATTTTCTGTAACACTGAAAAACGGTACCTACTTATTAACAATCAGTTATTCAACGATAAAGTGAACTAGAAATGCATAATGTTCAACTCGCCTAACGAACGGCTTTCGCAATTGTCCAAGCAAGAATTAATTGAGCATCTGGAAATAATAAATTAAATGCCTCGTCGTGTACAATACGTACGTATTTTAGAAATTTACGGCGAATGGCCGAATGGTAGAAATAAATTTTCAGGTTTTAAAATTTTCACTCGCCGTAAATTAGAAATTTCGACTTAAAGATTACAGAATATTTTAGAGAGTTGTATGTGGATAGAACTATTTCAGCCAACGATTTTCTTCAGCTTTTTGCGCTATCAGAACCTTGAATAAAATTACATGGGTATTTTTTGTAAATAATATTGATTTACCCAAAAACTTTCAGGTCAATCGATCCAAAGCACCTACTATTCTTGTTAAATGTTCTTAGGTAGGTAGAGCTTACTTCATAAAGTGACTTATTTTAAAAATTCACATGGCCCACCCATCATAGAATTACTAACTTATCGCATCCTGTGTTTTAACTTTCCTCTATTTATTCACTCACATATTCTTATTTGCCTGAAATCCAAATGTCAATGACAAGGTAGTACTTAACGTTAATTTGCGGTCACCTTACATTACACAATTATTTACTTAGTGCGGTTGAATGCGTGCGAGCGCGGACACGATTTCGACTTGGCCCAGTCATTTTCTCATCAAGTCATATTAGTAGGCCAAAGTGGTATTGGCTATATTAATACACTTTTGAAGGTCTGTAAGGCTTTTATCGGCCTCTTTCCTGAAGCTCTACAGGACTATTTTGCACGAATAATTGAAAAACGTCCCATAACTAACAGGCTCTTTCAACAATCTAATTACTTAAGTTATAAATAATTTGTAAAGATAATTTACGGGATCTGCTGTACATGCAACTAACTTCGTGGTTTGCTTTGGCGTAGGCCTTAAATAAATCTTTACTATCATGTTTAGCAAGCAGTATTTGCGTCTTTTATGACTGCTGCTCTTGTACCGCGCTCTGTCAATGAACTATCTATAGTTCCATGTCGTCGGGGTTGACGGCCAGCCAAAAGGCCTACTCGATGATCTAATAGGTGTCACTACTATTACATATTCGCACTTCCCACGGTGTACACACGTAACTCTGTGTCGGACTCGGACCTCGTTGTTTAACTATACTAACTTCCGCGAATCGAGAGAATATGGTGTTTTCATTTGAGAAACAACTAAATAAAGATCTATATTGTTAAAATAAGTGGAAATCCGTGGGGAGGCCTTTGTCCACCAGTGGACTGTGGACGGCATTTGGCTAAAATGAACGAAGCTATGTGAAAAATTTCAGCTCTAGAAAGAACTCTAACCATTTGATCAGAAATCTATCAGAGAGAGCTCTACAAAAAAAATCTGCTGAAATCGCACATGGAAAGTAAATAAGGGAATCTCAAAAGGAAAATCGTAGGAAAATCAATATGTGTCTTACTTTTTAAACTATTTTATATCATGTAGCCAATGTAACCATTTAAAAGGCAGGACAATGATGAGTATGATGATGTAACTCATAGGTCCATTTAACCAATCCGCGGGCTGCTCGCTTCACAATCGGACACAATGGCCGCGCGTGAGTCAATCCAAATTAATTAAGTTATAATGCAGTCCGGACAGCGCGGGGCCCGTTATGGTAGGACTGGTAGCCCGATATGGCGATGGGCCTTAACCCATATATGCCCAGAACTATTTAGGTCCCAGATTTTTATGTATATTGGCATATTAACTCTATATAGGCCCATAATCATGAACCACGATGAGTTTTTGGATTTCAGGATTTGGAACTATATTTTTTTCAGTCGGTCGAAAACGACCGCCTGGGCATATATGAGACTAGCATGTAGATGTTCATAGTATAAAGTATTTTCAAATAATAGTCGTATTTATTATAGAATTAGTTTACAATTTTTTACAGAATATAGCAAATAGTGTGTAAAAATAATATTTGGTTTATTTAGAAACTTAAATAATAACACAGTTAGTACAATTTAGGCTGCAAAACCTTTGCCATGGAGATTTACACCACACTTGCTGCATTTCTTCACAGTTATGTGTTTGCATACTGCACAATTTCAACCAATCTGACTGGTGAGGATCAATCAAATGCTCAGCACCATATCGCCTTACACTTAGTGGTATATTAGACGGCACTGGGCGTGTTGAAGGTAGACTGAGTTCAAGGAGATCCATATTTTGGAAGCAAATTTCTAGCAATTAATCTTCGAAACTCCAGAGTTATTATTGACGGTGACATCAATCAACCATGTCAAAAACATTAGAACCATTTTTTCCTTCCCATCAATAACTTTGCCATAATAGTGAGATCACTTGGAGCATCTGTAGACACTTTGAAGTTTCGAAGATAAATTGCTAGAAATTCGCTTCTTACAAATGGATCTCCTCGAACTCAGCCTGGACCTTCAACACGCCCAGTGCCTCTAATATACCTCTAAAAGGCTGTATGGTGCTGAGCATTTGATCCTCACCAGTAAGAATCATAGAAATTGTGCTTTATGTAAAAACAAACAAGTGTTTTGCAGAATTTCGTGCCTAAATTGTACTAACTGTGTAATTATTCAAGGTTCTAAATTAACCAAATAACATTAATTTACACTATTTGCTATAATTTGATGAAATTATAAACTAATTATATAATAAACACGACTTTTATTTGAATTACTTTATACTATGGAAATCTACATTC